TTCTGAGACAGAGTCTCCCTGTAGCCCCAGCTGGCCTGGAACTCACTATGTAGACCAGGCTGGCTTCAAACTCGCAGTGATTCGCCTGCTTCTGTCTCCCGAGTGCCGGGATTAAAGGTGTGCGCCACCATGCCCAGCTTGACCTTGTTCTTTTAAGACAGGGTCTCTCACTGAACTTCAAGCTGCTTCTAGCCAGCAACCCCCACCCCACCCCTGCAATCTTCCTGTCTCTTCCCTGCACAGCACTGGGGTTACAGTGTGCTTGTGGCCACACTGGCTTTTTACATGGTTACTGGGGATTTGAACTTATGCTTCCGCAGCAAGTCCTCTTACATACTGAGCCAGCTTCCCAACTCCTCATGTATTTTTAGAATCAGAAGTTGGACAGTCTGAGAAGGATGTAGGGGGAAGATGTTCAGCTAACCCTGTCATTTCAGAAGTGAGCAGACTGACCCGCATGGCTGCTGCAGGTACCCAGAAAGTGAAGGTGACCTCATTTTCTGTTCACCCATGCAACTCTGGATGAGGCAGACAGGTGTTTGTGATGTGTCCAGACATATTCTCAAATTAGTTTGGGCAGCACCCTTAAGGGAAAACCCCGTGACTTAAGGCGAGTGCCTACCCCAGTCTTTGGGTCACTCTAGAGTCCTTGATACTCATTTCTTTCGAAGTTGAAAGCTAAAATTGAGGATTTCCATGGATACAAGACAGTTGGACACCATGGTGCAGTCAGGTGAGTCTGCCTCAGATTTCTAATGCTTAGGAATCAAGTTTCCTCTTCTCTGAAGGTTGCTATACCTGTAGCCTGAGCTTGTGGTAGGAAGTCTAAGAAGAAAGTGACCACCAAACATTGATGCAGGTTGCTTCTGTAGTACCAATCACTTAGAAACTATCTATTGGGTATGGGGGCATGCACTGTACTCCCAGCACTGGGAACTCTGAGGCAGGTGGACCCTGAGTTTGAGCATGGTCTACATAGCGAGATCCTGTCTCAAATGTAGAAAATGTTGCCTTTAATCCATAGAAAATCAGTTCTACAGAAGGCCTTTAATAAGCCTGCATTAACAGGAGCATCCCTTGTGACTGGAAGCCGTGGAGGGGCTCCGGTTCCACACTGGGTCAGGAGCGCGGGTAGGGCCCAACATCTGTGCTTGAGAAATATTTCCCTTTGCTTCCCATACATTAAAGCTTGGTCCTAATCGTCAGGGCCAGGCTGAAGCTCTGTACCGGCTGTTGAGGATGATGGCGTTTCTTCTTGTCAGTTCTGACTGGGGTTTGGGACTAACCCTTCTTGTGCCTGACCTCCCTTGACTTCAATCCCTACCCTGGATCTGCTGCTGTGATGCAGACCCCGGTGCCTTGAAAACTTGTTTGAAGGGAGGCACAGTGGGAAAGGGGAGTAGAGAGGAAACCAACACCAGAATAGGCCTCGTTGCTTTAATCAACCAGGGGTCCTAGGTCAAGAGACAGAGGGTGACATGTTCAAGCAGTAGCCTCGGTGGGCTCAGGAGCAGCTGCTTACTTGGCCCCAGCCCCGGCTGTCCCTGTCGCTCCTGCTGCAGGTGCTGCCCCCGTAGCCCCCGTAGTCCCTGTAGCCCCCGTAGCCCCCGCTGCCCCCGCTGCTGTGGTGGCCCAAGGTGTTGCAACAGCACTGCCGCTGACGCTCCGGTCGTCACCTGAAGGATTTCCCGTGCTACCACAGTCTTTGATGTCCAGAACACAGCACCATTTGTCTTTGGGACACATCCCGGTGGCAGGCTCCGTCTTCATCTCTCCATTTCTGCACTTCTTCCTGCAGTTCCCCATTCTGTTGGCACACTTCTTCACATGCCAGTTACCTGCAAGAGGGAACCAGAGCCTCGTTCCACTGCTGAGCACAAGCAGCGTAGCACCAGCTTTGGGAGCACTGATTGTTCACGGCTCCTGAACCAGCTTTGGTATCTTTTCCTTAATCATGTAAATGTACTTTGAAGAGTAAATTAGATTATCTATCCACAGAATATACAAGAACCTGCCATCGCTGAAGTCAGAACTCTGCCGGCACTCACCAGTGTCTCTTGTCCAGTATTTTAACTGGAAAAATGTAGAAAATACTTTTTACACATGAACACATCATCCATAACCAGTTTCCTAAAGTGTAACTAAACCACACATAACCATCTCATGGAAGAAATGACTCTTATTTTAAAGCAGGAAATGCCCTCTCCACATTGCTGTTAATTTTCTCACCATTGCCAAAACATACATGCATGGCTTTTGTTGATAATTGGTGAGATTTTCAAACTCGATCTCCACGTTTCTGAGGTCCTTAAACTTATATTCGGAATGTAACTCTAGACTTTTCTTATGTGTTGTATTGTTAAAAATGGATAGTTTTGGGGGCTGGAGAGATGGCCCAGTGGTTAAGGGCACTGGTTGCTCTTACAGAGGACCTGGGTTCAGTTCTCATCATGGCAGCTCACAATCACCTATAGTTCTGGTTTCAGAGGATCCAACTTCCTCTTTGGCCTCTGTGGGCACTAGGCACACTTGTTGCACGTACATGCAGACAAGCACTCATACCCTTAAAAAAATAAATCTTTGAAAGAAGTGAGTAGTTATGGAAACCTAAATATAAAATTTTTGTGCATTACTTATGTATTGATGTATAGACCTATCTTTTCTATATGTCTATATGATATTGAGCTATAAGTACATTTTATAACTTTTGTTATTGTTGTTTTGAGATAATGGTTCGCTATATAGCTCAGGCTAGCCCGGAACTCACAAACCTCTTGTTTCAGCCTCCTGAATGCTGAAATTGCAGAAATAAAGCCCTTGTACCTGACTTAAAATTCTGAGAATGAAAAAAATTCTATGAGGAATATATTCCTCAGGAAGACATTTTTCCAGGGGAGTGTACATATTATACACCTGTAAGATATCTCACGGTGATATATGTGTGTGTCTGTACATATTATACACATATGTAAGATATCTCACCATATGTTTGAACACATAAGGGTCCTAAAGACATGTTGGAACTCCTTCTTACCTTTAACTCATTCCTCTATTCAGTCATCAGATACATACTGAGTGCTACTATGTCAAGAACGCTGCAAGGTACTTGGAATAAAACAATGAACAAAAAGACATGGTGTGAGATGCAAAGTAGAAGGAACAATCAAGAAGGAAGCGAAAAAGAAAAATCGTCACAGGCTGAGACAGCAAGTGTTGTAAATGAAATTGTGTGATGTGGGCAGTCGAGGACTATGAGTTTTGATGCTGACACCACTGTAATGTCTCCTACTAGTTGTCTAATCCCCCTCTGAGGAGTAAATGAGTGTCATGGAAATGAAAATTTTGTCCCTTAAAGAAAAACTTTGGTGGCAACTAACATATTGTAAAACACATTTGAATATTTTCTATAGTGTGATTATAAAATACATTTTAAATACTCGTAAGAAATCTGAAATAAGAAAATTAAAATAAGAATCGACATAGTAGCAATTGGCAATATATATTTGCCAGTTCATGCAAAAGAAGTATCACCTTGGACTGATTAAATGGAGCTTCTAAAACTTACCTACAGGATCAGAAAGGCTCCTAGTGATATTGTGATATTGTACAATGTCATTTATAATGAGCATATATCATCAAAAAAAAACCCAAATAGCAAATTAGGGACTCTCCAGGTGAATATTGCTGTAAAATATAATAGAATGACGAGAATTGATAGCAAAGTATATTTTCAAGAAATAAAGACCTATATAAAGATTTATGACAAGTTTTCTGATACAATTTTAAGTTAAATGCTTCTAAAAGTTCATCTAAATGTAAACTAGTAATTAAAAGAGGTCAGGAAGGGTGTGTGAGTGGGGGAAGGGGATGAAGAGATGCTGCATTTGATCAGTGCTTGTTGTAAGGAATATGAAATGGAAAATTAAAATATGCCTCCACATAGCAGACATTAGCAGTATACATGCCTGTTAGGACTCTGTCTCAAAATACCTAAATAGGTAATAGATAAAATAAATAAGTAAATAATAAAGCAAAACCAGTGGAGTGTGATGGTGCATACCTGTAATCCCAGAATCTGGGGTTTAGAGGCATGAAAATTACAAGTTCAAGGCCTGCCTGGAGGCATGAAAATTACAAGTTCAAGGCCTGCCTGGTCTATAGGGCAAGAGCCTGTCTCAAAACAGACAGACAGACAGACACAGACAGACCCCCTGACCACTAACTAACCAACCAGCCTAGAGAAGGAATGCCCACACAGGTAGAACTGGAACCTGATACAGACTTCCATAGTTTCCCATAACCATGTGTGATGGTTTTCTTTCCTTTTCCGTGTCTGAGTCCTATAGCCTTCCCTGTGCTATAACCACATCCATGAACAAGAATGACCACATCTGTGAGGTTTCCTGGAAGATGAAGAACGTGAGGGGAAGTATTCATGGCCGACAAAGTGAAGTGAGCAGGGCTGGCCCACGCAGAGGACCAAGAGGAGTCTAGAAGGTCAGAAGAGCCTCTGCCTTTGTAGGAAATGGTTCTGAGGTTGCATTTCCTTCCCCCATCTCTCATCCCAAAGAAAGGCTTGAGAAGCCTTGGACAAACCTCGATTCCTTCCCAATGAGAGAGACCCTGCACCACTGACTGCTTGATGTCAGGGCTCCCTGTGGAGAAGCCTGTTCTAGGCTGACTAATGCTTCTTTCTCCCCAAGATTCTCCATTTACCTGTGACCAAATAGGCCAGGAGCATAACGATCACAAGGGTGGACCATAGGGACTTCATGGCTCCTCAAATCAGTAGGCAGTAGGTTCTATGGAGTCCAGAACTCTATTCAGGAGGACTCTGAACACAGATCTTTATTGTCTCCTTAGGAGGAGGCTGGGCTCAGCCAGTAGGGCAGGGGAATTTAGGGCTACTCCGTCAACCATGACTTCAACCCATTGGTTAGTAGCTCTAATTGAGGCAGCACTGTCCAAGAGTCCTGCACTGTGTATGCCTTGGGGGAAGGAGGAAGACTTAGAAGAGAGGGTATAAGCTCGGTTAAGTGCAGGGAAATTCACAGAGCAGAAAAGTACAGGAAGCATTTCTGTGATTCCCCCAAGGCAGAGACTTGAATCTGTTCTTTTTACAACCACCTGTGATCTACTAGAGTGAACATAGTTTTGCGATGTGACAGCCTGTTCACCTGTCCATCTCTCCTCCTGAAACATAATGTCTTCTGGATGTTTGCTATGTACTGTTCTCTCTTGCATGTAGATTCTTTTGAGCTCTATCTACATATATAATTATTTTCTTTATCTTCTTTTTGAAGAAGAATCTAATCTACCGTGTATTCATCAAACAAGTTACAACTTTGTTGATATTCTGGGAATTCAGAAAGACCTTTCTAAATTTAAAATAAAAATTAACATTATAATTGTGTGTGTGAGAATTATACTGTGTGTGTAGACGTGCAGGTCAGAGGAAGGTGTTTGAGAATTCATTCTCTCTTTCTATTACGGGATTCAGGGATAGAACTTAGGTTGTCAGACTTGTGCAGTAAGTATTTTTACCTACTGAGCCTCTCACAATATTAATCCTACAAATCCATGAGCATGGGACATCTTTCCATATTCTGGTATCTTCTTCAATTTCGTCCTTCAGTGTCTTAAAGTTTTTATCGTACAGGTCTTTCACTTCATTTGATAGATTTATTCCAAAATATTAGTGGGTTTTTTGAGGCTTTAGTGAATAGGATAATTTTCCAGATTTCTTTCTTGATATATTTGTTGACGGTATATAGGAAGGCTACTGATTTGGGGATATTAGTTTTTTATCCTGCTACTTTGCTGAATGTGTTTAGCAGCTCTAGGAGTTTTCTGGTGGAATCTTTAGGTTCTTTTATGTATAGAATCATATCATCTACAAATAAGGATACTTTGACTTCTTCCTTTCCAGTTTTTACTCCCTTTATCTCCTTCGTTTGTCTTACTGCTCTAGCTAAGACTTCAAGTACTATATTGAGTGGGAATGGAGAGAGTGGCCAACTTTGTCTTGTTCCTTATGTTAATGGGAATACTTTGTTTTTCTCCATTTAGTATGATGTTGGATATGGGCTTGTGGTATACTGCCTTTATTGTGTTGAGCTGTATCCCCTGTATCCCTAGATTCTCCCTGTCTTTTATTATGAATGAATGTTGGATTTTGTCAAAGGCCTTTTCTGCATCTAATGAGGTAATCATGTGAGATGTCTATAAACTGATGAATGGATAACGAAGCCCTTAAAAATGAAATTATGAACGCCGGGCGTGGTGGCACACGTCTTTAATCCCAGCACTCGGGAAGCAGAGGCAGGCAGATCCCTGTGAGTTCAAGGCCAGCCTGGTCTACATAGTGAGTTCCTGGACAGCTGGGACTACAGGAAGACCCTGTCTCAAAAAGACAAAAAAAATGAAATTATGGAGTTCACAGGTAAATGGATGGAACTGGAAACAATATCCTGAGTGAGGGAGCCCAGAGCGGAAAAACAAACGCTGCGTGTTCTCTCTCATAACTGGATGCATTGAAATCTTAGATATGCATGCTTCAGTGTCTTGTTCCTTATGTTAATGGGAATACTTTGTTTTTCTCCATTTAGTATGATGTTGGATATGGGCTTGTGGTATACTGCCTTTATTGTGTTGAGCTGTATCCCCTGTATCCCTAGATTCTCCCTGTCTTTTATTATGAATGAATGTTGGATTTTGTCAAAGGCCTTTTCTGCATCTAATGAGGTAATCATGTGAGATGTCTATAACTGATGAATGGATAACGAAGCCCTTAAAAATAAAATTATGAATGCCGGGAGTGGTGGCGCACGTCTTTAATCCCAGCACTCGGGAAGCAGAGGCAGGCAGATCCCTGTGAGTTCAAGGCCAGCCTGGTCTACATAGTGAGTTCCCAGACAGCTGGGACTACAGGAGGACCCTGTCTCAAAAAAACAAAAAAAAAAAAAAATGAAATTATGGAATTCACAGGTAAATGGATGGAAGTGGAAACAATTATCCTGAGTGAGGGAGCCCAGAGGGGAAAAACAAACGTCGCGTGTTCTCTTTCATAACTGGATGCATTGAAATCTTAGATATGCATGCTTCAATTTGAAAATTCAGAGAGGTAAAAAACTATAAGCAACCATGGGTGAGGTGGTGGGGAAGCTCCTTGGAAGGGGAGGTAGAATGTGAGACTATGAAGGAGGAAAGGGTAATAAGAGTAGGAGGGGCTAAAAGGGGTGGGGAATGGGAGGGCGGGGCACAGGAGGGAGTATGGGAAGGATAACTAACCCTAAAGACCTTAGAAAAAGCCA